GGCCAACTGGTGAAAACAGGTAAACCCAGGAGGGCTGTGCTGATGCCAGGGTGTCAGGTGTGAAAGGACCTTCATAAGGTATGAATGGCCAAGGCAGTCTAGTCCCTGTTAATTGTAAAGACCCATTCCCAGGATTCCCATCTAGAGCAATACACATACACACACACACACACACACACACACACACACACACACACACCCTCAGGGCAGCATCCAAACAGATCAGGATGGGAATGACAGAGGAAAAGAAAAGATCCAGACATAAATGAAACAGACCAGAGAGCCAGGAAGGTCAAGAAGAGGCTGTCATATGTGCTAAGATGTTAAACAGCCTTCATAAAGCCCCATTCCTAAAAGTTCTGGGAGGGGAGGATGTTTAGATGGCTCAGCAGTTTCAAGTGTGGAAGTCCCCAGCTCCTACATCAGGACACAGGTAACTGCCTGTAACTCTACCTCCAGGGGATCTGACACCCTCACACAGACACATTCAAGCAACACACCAATACACACACACACACACACACACACACACACACACACACAGTTAAAAAAATCTTTAAAAGTAAGTAAACAAATAAAACTTCAAGGAGATTGTGCTTTCACATCACATCAAAGCAAAACCTAAAAAATATTGAGGTTAAATCCTGTACAAGAAAAAAAAAAGACAGCTCAATATTCTTCCCATTAACTATAGAAATACTCTACACAATGAATTAATGTCCCCCTCACACACAGAGAAAAACCAAACAACAGCCTGTTTTAAAATCAATACAAGATCTAAGAAACAGTTATGAGGCAGAAATGAACATAATTCACAATAAGAAAAAGTCAGAGATGAGGTGACAGGGCTCAGCACAGAATTAGAAATAAAAATATCATTTTAGGAATGGATGCTAAGCCAAAAAGCATAAAAGAGGAATAGAAAACAACAGAGACAAAATACATTTTAAAAGACATACAAAGAACTTGAGGCAATGAAATAACTAAAGGTGGGCAAAGAGGAAACAATATATAAATGATGGAGAAATATAAGCCAGGAAATAAAATTAATTGTAAGTTGTATAACTTATTAAAAATTTCCCCAAAAATAGGGACTGGAGAGATGGCTCTGTTGTTAGGATCACTGGCTGCTCAGCCAGCACTCAAGGTATTCCCAGCACTACACAGCAGCTCACAACCATTTGTAATTCTAGTCCCAGGGGCTCCAACACTCTCTCCTGGCCGCCTCAGGTACTGGGCACGTACTTGATGCCCATACAAACATGCAGGCAAAACATCTATATATGTATTTAAAAAATCACTTCCCTAAGATAAAAATTCAAATATAATCAAAAGAATACACAGAAAACATGAGATTATCAAAGAAAATGGATGAAGACTAAATCTAATACAACTATGAAAAGGGGGAAGGAAAAAAAGGATTAAAAGGAAGGAAGGAAAAAGATCAAAGGGAAGAAACCTGTGATATATCTAGGGCAGTGGTTCACAACTTTCCTAACTCTGGCTGTAACCCTTGAATAGTTTTTCATGTAGTGGTGACCCCCACAGCCATAAAATTATTTTTTGTTGCTACTTCATAACTGTAATTGATATTGTTATGAATTATAAATATCTGATATGCAAGATATCTGATATATGACCCTCAAGGGGGGGTCACAACCCACAGGTTGAGAACCACTGATCTAGATAGAGTAAGAACATAAGAAAGGTGTGTTATGATAAATTTTTCTGCCAAAAGCCGCTGAGCCCCACCACCACATGTAAGCTTTACGCCAGCCACCCGCCCGAGTTAGGGCCCAAATGAATACACAGAAACTTGTATTAGGTACGATGCTGCTTGGCCAATGACTAGGATTTTCATCTGTTAGCTCAGTCTCAATTATCAAAAATCTATATATTTTATAAGACTTATCTTATCGGACACCTTATTGGCATCCCTCCTTGCTGGGATCACATCTTGCCACTGGAGCAGGAGCGGAGGGGAAAAAGGGACCCTTCCTGTTTCTCCTTCGCTTAAATGAGTCTCCTTGCTATGTCATTTCCTGCCTGGATCATCACTTCTCTACTACATTTCCCAGAATCCTCTTTGACTCCTAGTCCTGTCTACTTGCTGTCTCATTGGCCAAACAGTATTTTATTTAACAATCAAAAAGATAAACATACACAGTACATTCCCCATCAAAGGTGTGTCCCCATCCTGTGTCACAGCAGCTTCCCATGCCTGACACAGCAAGACATCCAAGACATCAGCACCTTCAAGGAGGAAGAAATAAGCTATAGGTCTCAAGACCAACAAACTGACTCCCAGAAGGACAGGTACAGTCATACTGTTATCGGTACTCAAGAACTCTAGGAGAATTATTTCCATGAGTCCTCTCAAAGGGATCTAATTATAAATTGGAAGACACTCATATAAAAAACCTGGGGAATATTACTTGCAAATGCTTAAATGACTTAAAGAGAAAGCGTTTGAAGAATTTCTCACTATGTTAGCTAGAGTGGGACTGCTAGTCTGAGACTGTATATAATGGGGAATAAAGCAAATGAATGATTATGGAACATTTGAATTCTAATATCCCTATAGATGAAACAAGTGAGATTTTGAAACTGGACTTAAGCAAGCACATGGCACAGTCTGACTTTGCAATGGAGGGACAAACTTGAGCTCTCAAGACATTTTATATGCAACTTTACACATAATACAATACATACATATGCACATTGGTTAACAAAAATAGCTTTCTGACTCTGCCCACAAAAGAGGCCCAATACAATGAGCAACCTAGAAGCAACAAGCATCCTCGATGCAATGGTCTGGAAATACTGCCTGCTGGGGAAAACTGTGGCTGCTTTGAGACCAGCCACTTCTAGTTTGGGGGACATGAAAACGTACTCTGGGTGTCTGGAGTGGCTACTCAGTTTATGCAAAAGACTCATAAGCAACCCAAGGCTCTACCTGGCTAAAAATAGTTCCACTGGAGCATTTATAAGGAAAATAATTACAGCATATTGAAATTCAAATATATTTAAATGCCTAAGTTCTTAATAATATTAACAAACAAGAGAGCACTTTCAGAGCATCACAGCGATTCAGCACATCCTCCTGACAAAGGTTAAATAAATGGCAGGGTTCAGGTGCTTGTTTTATGTTTCCCCTTTGAGGTGCATTACGTTTGAACAAACAGCAGGTGGGAAATTTCCCAGTAAAAGCATTTGCAGCAATAACCTTGCGATAATTCAACTAAAATGTCATGTGTTTCAAGTCCTAATGAAGTAATGCACCCAGACCAGTGGTTCCCCACCTGTGGGTCTTGACCCCTTTGGGGGATCAAACAACTCTTTCACAGGTGTAGTGTATCACGTATCCTGCATATCAGATATTTACATGACCATTCGTAACAGTAGCAAAATTACAGTTACAAAGTAGCAGCAAAATAATTTTAATGGTTCAAGGTCACCACAACATGAGGAACCATGTTAAAGGGTCACAGCATTAGGAAGGCTGAGAACCATTGACCTAGACATTATATATCAACAGCTGCTAACATCTAAGAAAAATCAGCCACTGGGTAGGAGATGATGTGCTTGCTGGTGAAAGGATACATTTTACAGCTTTACCAAGGGAACTGGATGTGAATCTGAGCTCACATCTGGATGGTGGAATAGACAGGACTAGTTGAACTATACCATGAGTATGCAGTCACCAGCACACAGCCGTGGTTAACCAAGTGTCATGGCCAAGCTTAAAAATCACTATTCAAAAGCAAAGAAGGCATGCAGAACCCATCTTTATATTCTAAGTATTTAAAGGAAATACCTACTTTTTAATTGAGTGTGATTAAACCTTAATAGTATTCAGCTGTAAGGAAAAAATGAAATTTGCAGGAAAATGGATGAACTTGATATTAATCAAGGTCACCCAAATATAAAAAGAAAGAAAACCTATATGTTCTCCCCCAAATGCAGAACCTAGTTGATCATACATGAATGTAGGTAAGCAAGTGTGTGTGTGTGTGTGTGTGTGTGTGTGTGTGTGTGTGTGTGTTGTGTGAGAGAGAGAGAGCATTTAGAAAGGAGACAGAACAGAGGGTACTATGATATGGCAAGGAAGGACAGAATGCAGGCAAAAGGCATACAAATCATGAAAGAGGATATAAAGAGATTTCTTTCTAGTTTCAGTTCCTTTGTAGATTTCTCATGTGGTGAATAAGTGAATAAAAACATAGCTACTATTGGAAGAGGTTTTAAAATGGCCATTCCAGCTACATAGAAGTTTGCTGAGATACTGGAGTTTGGGTCTGGCGAAGTGTTTGAGTGGCTGTCTTAAACATGATTTCACTTGAGTTCATCAGAATAAAGTGATGTTTTTTCTTTAAAACATTAAACCCTTGATAAACTGCAAAGAAGCAAGAAATGTTAGTACAAAAATCATCACAGAAGTTAATTTTACAGAAAGGGAAGGGTAGAGATTAGACAGGGACAGAAGGGTGTTATGTGGCAGGCGATTCTGTTTCTTGACTGTGTGCAGTGGGGATGAGAATGCTATGGACTGTATTTGTATCCATCCCCCAAGTGCTGAATACTGCAAGACTTCCAATGTGACAGTAGTAGGAGGTGGGCTTTAGGGGAAATGATAAAAGAGGGTGGAGCCCTCAAGAATAGGATTGGTGCCCTGATATATAGAGAAATTAGAGATAGCTTTATTCTCTCCACCATCTAGTTCAGCATCCATAACACAGAAAGATGGTAACTGTTTAAGCCATCTAGTCTACACTGGGGTTTGTTTTGCTTTCTTTTATTTTTAGCAGCCCACCTAGAACCTTTGTTCATTAAATTCACATTTTGTTTTGTTGAAATTTACAAAGAACAGAGAGGAGATGGAGAACTCCAAATAGGGAGAGAGAGAGAGAGAGAGAGAGAGAGAGAGAGAGAGAGAGAGAGAGAGAGAGAGATTACTGTCAAACAAAGAAGTTAGACAAACACCCATCCAGGTCCCTTACCTGTGCTTTGGCCAACTTCTTTTCCAGTAGGTCTCGTTCCCGCTCTGTTTGCTGCAGGCGTTTATTCAGCTCTACTATGTCTCCCTTGAGTGATGCCAGGGCTGCCAGGTGGAGCTGTGGCGGCAGAAGGAAAGGGACCCATGGTTAGACAAGCTCATTTGCTTCCCTTCCTTCCTTTGATTAGCATAGCCATACATAAAAAAAGATCTATCACCCCAAAGGGGACACTTTGGACAATGGAAGTGCCTTAACCTCAGGAACAACACATGTAAGTCAGGGTCTTACATGAGCTAGTTATATAGTCACTCTAGACATAGGGGGAAAGGACATTCCTGTGTAGGATAGAATCAAAATTAGATGACAAATTCAGGGTAGAGAGCATAGCTCTTTATTTTGAGGGCTTTTCCTGGGATAAGTGTGATTAGTGACAGCTCAAATGAGACTGCTTAACTCAACATAAAGCACAAGAACTACAGCCTGAGCAAGAAGCTGAGGCAGGAGGATCATGAGTTTGAAGCCAGCCTGGACTACATAAGGAAATCCTGTCTAAAACAAAACAAATTAAAAAAGGAAAGAAAACAAAAGCTTTAGGCACAATAGGCACAAAGGAAAGTGGTGGTGGCGGACAGCTGGGGGCTGGATATAGCTCAGTGGTGGAGCGCTTGCTTAACATGTAGGTCGTGTGATGCTCAGCACAAAGAAAGAGAGGACTGGTTTTGAGTTGGCTCTTCTTCCAGTTGACCTGTTGATTTTTTGCTATTAACTCCTTCCTCATCACCACCAAATAGCCTCGATTGATTGGGCAGATGCTTCCTATAAGAAGCTAATAGACCCTCACTGAGAAACAATCAAAATCCTGAGGTTACGCCATGCTCCACAGAACATATCTCCATCCACAAAGATACCATTCCCTGGCCATCTATCTCAGGTTAATAGAAGCTTAAAAGGAAGTTCTTCAGCGGATTTAAAGAGGAGAGAAGCAAGCATTATGATCAGAATCTGAACAATTTTGCATTCTGAATACAGAATTTGGCCGCATAGGCTCCTGGCCCAGCCTAGGCTTCTGTGGCTTTCCGGGCCAGAGATGGGTGGACTAAAAACACATTTACCACACCCAACTCTGAACCCACCTCAGGGCCTTTGCCTGCCTGGGTACTACAGATACCTGCTTTCCCCCTTTGCAGCCCAGGGAGTTCAGGTGGCTCACCCCTGTGCCCTATGGTGTGCTGCACCTAGAAATGGAATCATAACAGATACCCTGCATAGGTGCCCTGCAGCTTCCCCTAGGGCTTAGTGTGAGTTGAGACCAAAAACAGACGTGTTCTTTGAGGATGGCATGGCCATGGCAGTACACAATTCAAAGCTCAACATCACTGGCATTTTAGCTTTAGAAGACCACCCTCCCTGCACCCTGCTCAGACGTACTGGAGGTGGGTAGTGGCTTCAAAGCACTTGTGTTCCTTAGACTCCAACAGTAGTGTGACTAACTTAATTGCACACAGGCTACAAACCAACAGATCAATCGCTGATTTGAAACCAGAAACGCTTGAAATTTAAAAAGGAAATGCCAAGCAATCTGGTGGTATTTGCATCTGGTGTAGGGCTAGGGCCCCTCAGAAAAGGTCACTCTGCTGTTCAGATACAAGATTTATGTGATGGTTTCTCAGCACAAATACAATCTTCTTGAGATTTGTTTTGTTTAGAGTTTGGTGAAGAGAAAGGGTCAGTCCCTTCCATGGCTAGGGCTGTTGCCTTAGTCCTGCAGCATCAGCACTAGTGTGTGATCAGGTGGTCTTAGGGGAATGTACATCACCCAATCCCTGGTGAGGATCATCAAACACTAAGACCTGATGCGTGCTTTAAAAGATACGTGTAGTTGGTTGTTGGTTTTTTACTCCTCTTTACTCTGGCTTTTTTGGAAGGCCTGCCATCCAGCTTCCAAATAAATCACCACAGAGTCTTATTCTTTGTTATAAATGCCCAGTCTTAGCTTGTTTCTAGCTAGTGTTTCTTTTCTTAACTTATCCCATCTATCTTTTGCCTCTGGGCTTTTATCTTTCTCTATTTCTGTATACTTTTCTTTACTTCTTTCTCCATAGTTTTCTGTGTAGTGGGGCATCTGGCCCCCAATGTAATCTTCTCCTTATTCTATCTTACTCCTCCTCCTCCTCCTCCCAGATTTCTCCTTCTATTTATTCTTCCTGCCTGCCTGCCTGTCTATCCTTTCTCCTGCCTCGGTATTGGCAGTTCAGCTATTTATTAGACCAATCAGGTGTTTCATCTGTGTGTGTTGTAAAGTAGCACAGCTTCACAGAGTTCAACAAATGCAGCATGAAAGAATGCAACACATCTTTACATCATTAAACAAAATGTTCTACAACATAAACAAATGTAACACATATTAAAATACCATTCTACAACACACACAGGCATAGACACGAAGGCCCAACTGAGAGCGTGGTAAGCTCTTCCCTATCTCACTCTCTTACATCTGGGCTTGTCTGCAAGGCTTGGGAGGATGAAAGGGCAAAGCTGGCAACATCAAAACTATGTCACATAGGCAGACACACAGAGTAGCTACTTCTGCCATAGCCACACCAGAAGGGTCCATAATAGGATCACATTGTTGAGGGGACTCCTGGAATGGGTACCAAAATAGTCTTTGGCCCCTTGGCTCTCTGGACAGCATGTACACAGGGCAGTTCTGTGTTTCTCTAGATGGAAAATAGCTTTCCATGAAGGACACAGACAAGTCCCAAAGAGTCTCCTGAGTATGATGGTGGCCTTTACAGACAAAAATGAAAAGGCAGATACGAAAGAATGTTTTCTACACACTGAGATCTATCTATCTATCTATCTATCTATCTATCTATCTATCTATCTATCTATCTATCTATCTATCCATCTATCTACATGCTTCCAAATTAACAAACATTTGTGATAGCTATTAACTCTGTGATCCCATGATACTTCACACACTGGTGTGCCATGAGGACAAGATGTCTGAGAGAAAGGGAAGGACCCATTTGGGGCAACTGCAAGACTGAGTCACTTTCTTAAGGCTCCACATAGCACCTGGAACCCCCAAACACAGCTCAGCATCCTGCTATCCCATACAAGACTGCACATGTCAGTAATCTGTATGAGTTTTTCATGGATAAAAATTTTACTTAAAAGAATTTACAAACATGATAATAAGAGAAATGAAATGAAACTAAAAGAATATACTTGAAAGGGCATTCTAATGGACACCCAGTGGGCTCTGGGTGATGCTAAATTGTTTTCAGTACTTTTAATTCAATGAATTTTTTGGGGGGGTTTCAAGACAGGGTTCTCTGTGTAGCTTTGGAGCCTATCCTGGCACTCACTCTGGAGACCAGGCTGGCCTCAAACTCACAGAGATCCGCCTGCCTCTGCCTCCCAAGTGCTGGGATTAAAGGCATGCGCCACCAACGCCCAGCTTCAGTGAATATTTTTAAAGGGAGTTATTTATATATTAAGGAAACAATAAAAAGACCAGCAAGAGCATAATAACTGAAACAGGTTCTGGCCCTTTTGATGGAAAGAATATGGAATAAAATGTATTTATTGTTGACTATTTCTCAGTAGAGGCATAGAAGTCACAGCTGCCAACAGAGGGCACCCTACTTAGCCCCCACATCCCTAAGGAGCTCTCAACACAAGTGCATGCCTCTTTGCTGGTCAAGTTTAAAGTTACCAGGGACAGAGGGGCTTCTTGGATTGAGTCACTCATAGGCCACAGAGAAACTTCAACATGGTGGGTGACGGCACAGGCACAGTAATGCAGGATTCTGCCAAATCCCAAGACTTTGAATGTCAAGCCTCTTAGGTCTCTGTGACTTTTTAAACATTTTTATTTATTTGATGATTATTATCATTTTACCATCAAAGGTTAGAGGAAAACATTGAGGATATGGTCTTCTCTTTCCACTGTGGGTTCTGAAGACTGAACTTGGGGTTTTAGGTTTGTGTGGCTGGGCCATGAAACTGTCACAGGGAGCTTATACAAAGCTTACATGGAACCTTGTCACTGTCTATATACTTTCAGATTTAGTGCATACAGGTGACAGATGCATATATTCTCATGTTTCCAGGGATAAAGGTCCCTAATTTTCTAGGTTGTTTGTAAGCTAGTTTTACTCTCTGCTGTGTGTGTCCAAATGCAACTATACCACCTGGACATTTGGCAACAGACAAGGTAATTGTCAAGCTAGGCAGTTGTTATTTTTACATAGTCTGTTCCTTGAGTGAAACTGCACTATAGAACTAGTCTTAAGGACAAACTTCACTCCTGACAGCTAAGGTGTCCAGCTCCATGGCCCAAGTGAGGACCAAGCAGACAGACTCTCCATGCTGAGTGGATAAGCAGCCCCTCACATTATCAGCAGGAGCTTTGTCTCTTTGTCTGCTCTATACTCTTTCAGATGCTCTTAGAATCCATCAGCCCTACATTGTGATGAGTGGCCTCTGAGAGCACTTACCTCCCTTCTGCTATTACTAACAATAAAGTGGCAAACACAGCCTGCTCTGTTGAGCTAAGCTGCCATTCTCTCATATGTCACATTATGATTGTCACCATCATCCAGGGCTTGTGTCTAGGCTGTTAAAGTCTACCTCTGTCACTTGGCTCATCTTTCTGGAACTGGGACCTTTGAACAGTCCAGTCATCAAAGGGCCAAAGGCTCCAGCAGCTTGGCAGAAATGGAGGACTGTGTCACGTGAAGCATTTCTTTTCAGTATGGCTACCACTGGGCACCTCCTACCACAGGCTGTGCTGGTCTTCCTGCCCTGTGTGGGTGAGCTCATCCAGGGTGTACTTTGAGGGTAGTGTCCTTCCTTCTGTGCCTGTTTGGGTCAGGAGGTGCTTGTGCAAGCCACATCATTGACTGCCAGGGTGTCCCTGCTTCTGTCTCACTGTTGGATAAGGGAATTTCTGCTGTGGAATATTCCTTTACCCTGTGTGAATATATGTCACTGTGATTGGTTTAATAAAGAAGCTGACTGGCCAATAGCTGAACAGTATAAGGTTAGGCAGGAAAGCCAGACTAAGAGAATGCCGGGAGGAAGAAGGGTGGAGTCTGGAGTCACCAGCA